AACAAGGAGCTAGAAATGTATGTATACAAGCAAATATAAGGACATGCAGGTAACTTTACAGGAGAAGAGAAAAAAACCTTTCTAAATTTTAATGTGAATGAACTATTTCCTTTGGTCCATTAACCATGAAACATTCACACATTGCTAAGAGCAGTTGCCATTTTCATATGATGTAAAAACAATAAAACCAGGTATTTGATATGACAGTGATGTCATATTACTCACACATACAACTATAATTCACTGACATGTCACTGTTTTAACATCGAGTCTCAGATGTTAAATCTTCTCTTCTCTCACAGAACAGACCCGTAATGCTGCCAAGAAGAAGAAGAACTCCACACCTTTAAAAATACTTCAAAAATAAAGAGCAGATAAAAGGAATGAGAAGGTGCACTAATCAATGTTATATCAACATTATGTACAGTATTCTTATTTTGCCATTTACTTCTTCCGTTTCCTGTGGAGTTGCCTCTGGAAGTACCATCGCAGACCACCATCTATCCAGTGAACAGTGACCCTTGTCATTTTCTCTTGTTCCTTCTATCTTCCACTTATCTATACTCCATGTCTACCTCTTCACTCCTTACTACTATCCACCTTCAGACATTATTTGGCACATTTGAGTACATTTTAGCATGGATTATTTGAAAGATTAAGATGAAAATAAGTTTCATATTAATTGAATATCAATCAATAATTCAATGTTAATTAGTAAATTAATTAAGTAAAATATGAAAAAAGACTATCAAAAGATTAACTTACCCAGAGAAAACCCTTTGAAAACATTAATCACATCTTCCACAAACTGTTGTTTGTGTTTGTGGGAATCTTCAGGGAATCTTTGTGTCTTTGAGGAGAAGGATTCAGAGGGAGGATCCAGAAACATATCCCTCTGGTCCCGATTCTCACAAGGACTCTATCTCCCAGAACCCCTTGGGAGATCACGTGACTGATGAACTTCCTTGTTCAACCAATCACCGCCCTAGTTCTCCTGAGTACTGAGTCCCTTCACCTGTGTTCTATGTCATATGACTAGTTTAGTTTAGTATATAAGCCCAGATTGTGAGGTATTGCTTCTCTTGTAGAGCTACTGATTGGTTCCTCTGTGTCTTTGTGATTGCCTGGATTTCTGGTTTTTGCCTCTTGTTCTTGACCTCTGGTTGCCTTTTTGTACCTTTTTGCTGTTTTGGATTTGACCCACGCCTGTTTACTGACCACGATTCTTGTCAAACCCTTTGATATTAAAGCCTCATCTTTTGTTTTTACCGCAAGAGTCTGGCCCTTTCTGTCATGTTACAAAACATTTGAGCAGCATCATGGAGAAATAGATGTAGATCCCCTGACTCAGTCCTTCTTTTTCTTTTCCTTAACATGCCTTCCTTAGCATGATTTCATTACTTTTGCTCTGCATCTGTTGCAGTCTGAAGTGTCAGTGTGCATGTTCTGGGACTGCTGAGTCCTGTCCACCCCCATTTTTAATCATTACTTTAACCCAGTATTTGCTTTAGAAAGAATACTGAATAACTCCTGTATCGGAATAAGTGTTACTTAAAAATAATATGAACGAATTGCACCCCTAAACCTAATAACTGGTTGTTATACTACCCTTGGCAGTAACAACTGCAATAAAACATTTGCGATAGCTTGCGATGAGTGATTAATCACTGTAGAGGAATTTTATCCCACTCTTCCTTGCAAAATTGTTTTAATTTGGCTACATTAGAGCATTTTCGAGCATTAACTGCCCATTTAAGGTCTTGCCACAGCATCTCAATGGGATTCAAATCAAGACTTTGACTTGGCCAACCCAAAACCTCAATTCTGTTGCTTTCTTGCTTGTGTGCTTTGCATCATTGTCCTGCTACATAACCCAATTGTGCTTGAGCTTTACATCACAAACTGACAGGTGGACATTCTCCTTCAGGATTTCCTGATAGAGAGCAGAATCATTGTTTCATCAATTAGGACAAGTCGTCCAGGTCCTGCAGAAGCAAAGCAGCCCCTGACCATCACACTACTACCACCATGCCTGATTGTTGGTATGATGTTCCTATGGTGGAATGACTCATCAGTCCACAGAAAGTCTTGGGGGTCATTTGGATGTTTTTTGGCTAGACAAGCCTTTGTGTTTTTTCGGTCAGCAGGGGTTTGCGCCTTGCAACTCTCAGTTGATGCCATTCTGCCCAGTGTCTTTCTTATTGTGGAATTGTGTACATTGACCTTAACTGAGGCAAGTAAGCCCTGCAGTTCTTCAGAAAATAGAGATTTTTTTGTGATCTCCTGGATGAGTCGTCGATGTGCTCTTGATAAAATTTCGGTAGGCCAGGCACTCTTGGAAAGATACACCACTGTTCCAAGTTTTCTCGATTTGTGGATAATGTCTCTCGCTGTGGTTTGCTGGAGTCCCAGAGCCTTAGCAGTGGCTTTGTAACTCTTTCCAAACTGGTAGATTTCAATGAATTTGTTTCACATCTGTATTAGGATCTCTATAGAACATGACATTGTGTGCTGCTTTTGAGACCTCCTAGCCTGCTTCACATTGCCAGACAGGTTCTATTTAAGTAATTTTTAGATTCAACAGTTCTGGCAGTAATCATGCCTGGGTGTGGCTAGTGAAACCCAATAATAAATTGAATTTGGTTAACTGGTTGATTTAGTAGCTTTTTAACTTTTTTACTTTCACCTTTTTTAATAAATGAAATTATCATTTAAAACAGTATTTTGTATTTACTTAAGTTATCTTTGTCTAATATTAAAAGTGGTTTGATGATCTAAAACACTGTGTGACTAAATGCAAAAATAGATGGAATTGGGAAGGGAGCAAACACCTTCACACAGCACAATGTGACAGTGTATACACACACACACACTTTATTTTTCTATTTTGAAACAATAGGCTATGAAAAGGTACAAATATGTCCCTTTCCCATGGAAAATGTGAATGTAGTGTACCTTAAAACTCTTTTTATTATGTGGTATTATATGGTCAGTCTGGAGTTCACAAAGCACTCAGAAGGGTCAGAAGAGAAATACTTTCTTCTCTAATACAGCCTTTTATGATAAAATAGTAAAATACCGAACAATTAGAGCTTGAGTTTGCCCTGTGCTGAAAGCTGTTTGTGTCACCCGTATTGAGTGCAGCCTTTAATTAAGTTAAATAAAGAATAATGTCTGAATTTTCTGACATACCCCCAACGTCATTCGATGTAACACTGGGGGTTCAAATACCACAGTTTGGGAACCACTGCACTAACAGATGCAGATATCTATCATAAACAGGAAATAACTAGGGTTCAGCTGCACCAACCAAGATTAAATAAATACATGATAAATCTTAATCAAAGTGAATCCAGCTTTTAAAATGGTTAATTCAGGATTTAGAAGAATTGGCTCTGTGCTGAGTGAATATTTAACCCCTGATCAATAGTTTTGACATTAATGTCTTAAAATCTCAATTCTATTTAATTCCTAAAAGTTTATTATATGCATTAGATATAAACTGTTGGCAGAATTTGAAGTGAATTTTAAGTAAATATAGAAGAACACAAAAGTTCTTTCATAGGAAGTGCTGTAGTATTAACCAATTAAGCAGCTAACTTAATCTATTATTATCATCATTATCATCAAACTTATTTTTATAAAAATCGCTAATTAAGGTTGATCATGCAAGTGAAAAATTGAAGTCAAGCTTAAACAAAGGCCTGGTAGTTGATTGTAGTGTTTTTTTTATGAAGCGAACAATAAACTCATTTTAAACCGATAAATGTTACTGTCTTGTTTTTCATTTGCACACAACTAAAAATGTACAGTGTTCCTGAAAATGTTCCAGATATTCCTAAACTAGAAGTTATTAAATGATAATTATATTATAATCTGTTTATACTATTTATTGTCAGAGTTCAGTATCTGTTTCAGTATCTGTTTCAGAAGATTTGATCTCTTCTTTGCAAATGAAAGGATTTCTGGATGTTAATTTTATTACATCAATCTGGATGCCCTACCGTTTTCTCACTCATTTTGCAATCATCTGTCATTGTGGACTCAACTAATTTCTTCATTTTCACAGTATTTCCACCTAAATGAACTCCAGCTCTTTTTAAGTGACCCACATCCACAACTCAGCCATTGTGGAGGAAGAAGATAAACTCTTATTGCACATGCAGTTCATCACTCACTGCAGTTTCTTCTTTTTGCATGCTGTAATACTAACACAGAGAAGAGTGACAAACACACCAACTACAGCTTCAGTCTTTCTTTTCATACAAATGAAACAAAACTTCTAAGTTTTCCTTAAGACAAACATAACATGATGAAATGCTAGAGCACATTCACTATATATAGCCAAAACCCCTCTCCTGCATAACTCCTCTGAACCACAGTGCTTATGTATGCAACTGAACACATGTTCATATTGTCCTGTTATATACTGTAAATAAGTTTATTTCCTCAGACTCTGCACAAATTACATATTCACAGTGTTCACATATATCTATTTAGCTCTTGTATATCTAATTACTTACACATGTTTATTCTTTTATTGTATTTTATTTGTTTTTGACTATTTTGCTGTTTTTTTTTTAATATTTCCTGTTGTTGGTGTACTTCTCTGGTCTGTTTAATATGTTACATGTGTGCCCTCACTATGACAGATCCCTAGTATGTATAACGTAGTGAAATAAAGTGATTCTGAACTAGTAAACATTATGGGGGACAGACATAAAAGAATCTGCATCTATTAGGTTGTATAACATGGCAGAATAATTTAAACAGCTGTGCTGCCTGCCAGTTTTTGCCAAAGAAAGAGGAGAAGCCCTGGTCTTGTTGAATCTCAAAAGCTAAAGCAGCTAAAGCTTATCAAGTGTTGGAAAGATTTACCATAGTATGACGACGATGATAAAAATCTAGAAATGTAGGAAAAATGCTGATACATAATAATTTATGTGATACAATATACCCCAAAAAGATAAAAAAGGAAGACCAAACAGTGAATTTCAAAATTTGAATAGATTATAAAATTTAATAGGAAAAAAATGTTTTTTCCAGGACTACAGGAAACACAATATAACTAAAATAATAAAAAAAATAAAATCTCAACAGGTTAACATGTTCACACAAACACACATAACCTTACATGAAAAGGCTTAAGTATACAAAATATTAATAAATAAAAGATATCAGTAGGCTAAAACTAAGGGAGAGATCTTAGTTTTAGCCTACTGACATCCTTCTTTAAGTATGATGTGAGCACTCGCTTAACAGTAGTTATAACTTTATGCAAAACATATAAATAAGACAGTCTAGATGGAGAATTGCATACACATTGATTCAACATCACAAATATAAAATACAAATAGATAAAAATATAATGCGACTTAAAATGGTTCAGAAACAAAACTGAACAATGTCATATTGATTCGGTTTAGTCAACATGTACTTCATGCCTATCTTAATAACATCAGCAAGAGTCACTCTCAGTCATGCCCAACGTCTTAAATGTCCCAAAACGGTCACCCCTTACCCAGTTCTAAAGTGATGGAGATACCCAGTTCCAACTCCTGTACCATTGGCCGCCAGCATGTCTGGTAGGACAGATTGAAGATTGGCATAAACAAGACCTTATCTCCTGTCACGGCATCCTTCTCAAGAAACAATCACTCTCCAAGCATCACAAACAACATCAACATGAGTCATTAAAGTCTCTCAAAATAGTAACTGAAAGTTCATAGATGAGTTGCAATCTGGCCTGTATGTAACTTTATGCAGTGTAGAACAGACATGAGTACGCCATACTGAGGAGAGAGAACCAGTATATCACTCAGATACCTTGATACACTACATGGACAGAAAGAATTGGAACACCCCTCTTAATGATTGAGTTCAGGTGTTTCAGCCACACCCATTGCTAACAGGTGGATAAAATAAAGCACACAGCCTTGCAGTCTTGATATGGGTTGTACTGATAGCTCAGTGATTTTAAACATGCCATTGTAAAGCACGCTGCCACTGGACTCTGGAGCAACAGAAATGTGTTCTGTGGAATCATACTTCTCTATCTGGCAGTCTGCTGGACCAGTCTGGGTTCGGTGAATACCAGAAGAACGTTACATGCCTGACTGCACTGTGCCAACTGTAAAGTTTGGTGGAGGAGGGATAATGCTATGGGGTTGTTTCTCATGGGGTTGGTCTAGACCTCTTAGTTCCAGTGAAAGGAAATCTTAATGCTTCAGCATACAAAGACATTATGGACAATCGTATGCTTCCAACTTTGTGAGAACAGTTTGGGGAAGGCCCTTTTCTGTTACAGCATCACTGCACAAAGCAAGGTCCATAAAGGCATGGTTGGGTGAATCTGGTGTGGAAGAACTCGACTGGCCCTCACAGAGCCCTGACCTCAACCCCATTAAACAATTTTGGGATGAACTAGAATGGAGATTGCAAGCCAGGCCCTCTCGTCCAACCTTCTGGATGAATGGGCAAATATTCCCACAGACTCCAAAATCTTCTAGAAAACCTTCCAAGGAGAGTAGAAGCTGCTATAGCTGCAAAGGGGGGACAAACACCATGTTAATGCCCATGGATTTAGAATGGGATGTCATAAAAGCTCCTGTAGGTGTAATGTGTAGGTGTCTCAATACTTTTCTCCATATAATGCATCTTGCTGTCCTTCACAGGACACAGGAGTACATGTGTCTCCTTTACAAAGCTGTTCAGTTTTGCCCAGCGCAGCAAGTACTTCACTGTTACAGTCTTCAGGGTCGTTTCTCCTTCATTATAGTCTTCTGTAAGAACACTCCAAACATACAGCATACCGAAAACATCTAAAGATTGAAAGGCAAAGACAAAGTGGCAGTTTCATTTCAACAAGCATGAACTAGTTAACATGTAGGAATCAAAGAAGCAAAAGAAGGCTTCAACACTTCTAACACTGCAACAGAAACACTATACTAAATTAAAGAGTGAAACAACTTATTGAGTGTGCAACTTTTGATTGTTTTCATGATAATATAGGAGAAGCAATGTTCCCTGCAGACTTTTATTCTTGGAATGTGTTAAGGTTACACTCATTACTGCCCATTTTCACCACTGCTCTTAGTGCACTTGTGTGTCCTCATAGTACTGGACTGCCTGAAACTCTTCCCACACTCTGAACAGTAATAGGGCTTCTCTCCTGTGTGAATGCGCTGGTGCTTATGGAGGGAACTTGGCTGAATAAAACTCTTCCCACATTCTGAGCAATGATACGGCTTCTCTCCTGTGTGAATGTGCTGGTGTTGTCGGAGAGAACTCTGTGCGGTAAAACGCTTCCCACACTCTGAGCAGTAATATGGTTTCTCTCCTTTGTGAATGCGCTGGTGTTGTTGGAGAGAACTCTGTCCAGTAAAACTCTTCCCACACTCCGAGCAGTAATACGGTTTCTCTCCTTTGTGAATGCGCTGATGTTGGTGGAGAGAACTATGCGCGGTAAAACTCTTCCCACACTCTGAGCAGTAATACGGCTTCTCTCCTGTGTGAATGCGCTGGTGCTGTTGGAGAGTACTGCGTAGAGTAAAACTCTTCCCACACTCTGAGCAGTGATACGGCTTCTCTCCTGTGTGAACGCGCTGGTGTTTTAGTAAAGTACTGCGTACAGTAAAACTCTTCCCACACTCTGAGCAGTGATATGGCTTTTCTCCAGTGTGGATGCGCTGGTGTATTTTGAGACGAGTTTGCACAGTAAAACTCTTTCCACACTCTAAGCAGTAGTGATTTCTCTCCTTGTTGCGTCTTTTGGATTCCATAGTCTTGTATTTAACCTGTTTCAGCAGCTTAACGTTCCTCTTGGTGGAATATCCAGATGTGTTTCCAGGAACACATTTAAGCTGGGTAGGAAGGTGCAGAAGAAGACTTGAAACAGGACATCATTTATTCCTGGGAGAAGGAAAAAAATATATAAACTCAAAGTGCAAAAGTAGTCTGATTCATATCATGAATGCTCCACATACATAAATTGGCATAAAGTGTAAAGGAAGAATAAACTTTTTTCTGATGTGGAAATGCCAATCACTTAATTACTCAAACTTTTCAACTAGACATATGGGCCACTGAAGTCCTCTCATCATGCCATTATTGGAAACTCCAGGGCTAAGTTAAATTCTCCATGGCAAAAATGACTGGGATTGTTAGAACACCACCTCCATCACTTCCTGTGGTTAACAAAATGATTCCAAACTCGTACATTATTCCACTGAATGTTACTGGACCTTTTGCTTTACAATGTTTTTAAAGAACTGAAATATGAATTTTGCTACATGCTAAAGTCTCAGAGCTTATTTGACTCATTAGAATTTAAGCCAAGTCATGTATAGACAATGTCAAAGAATAATAAATTATGTGATCCAACCTTTTTGGGTGCTTACACTTCACAGCCATAGGCTCATCCAAACAGCTGACTGAGGATCTGAAACTAAAAATAAATAACTCCTACAAAGCAAGAATATAAGATATATCTGAATACTTCCTGCTTATTAATCTACAATGTCTGAAACAGGATTCATTTTGTATTTCTCTTTGTTTTCTGTGTCAAACATAACTTGTTTATTCTTAAGGGTGAGGGCGTTATGACCCCAATGGCCTAGTATCTCTTCTGTGTGGTGTTGCTGCTTTGTATGTGTTTCTTTTTTATTTAGGCTACTGTACATGGAGGTCTGTAATTGGCTGCACAGGGGCACTTTTCCACAATAAATCTTGGCCCTAGAATTAAAAGGTTCTATCGGACATTTTCATCAATATTGACTTATGTACAGTTAACAATTTAGCGCTGCGTCTTGATGTGTTTTTTTAAACAAGCATTGTAAAGTCTGTATTATTAAAAAGGAAAAGTTGTGATTGTGGGATAACCAATGAAGTTCATTTTTTCCCCAAGTCCAGAAGCTCAGCCATAAGCTGTTTAGAGATCTTAGTAGCTTGGCTATGAATCCAGGTTAAATGAGCATTCAGAGCTTACCACTGACAGACTAACTAATTTAAAATATAAACTTTATTTAGCAATTATTTAGCAGTGATTGCTAAATGTTAGCTAATCAGTTAGTAGCCAGCTAGCTAAATTATCATATTTACAAAACAAAGAGCTATCTAAATAAAGCTAGAAGGCATGACAGTAATTGTCTAATGAGAGTGGGCAGTGTGGATGTATTACTGTGGCTGAATCTCATATGGTGCAGTTTATGGGTTGTAATGTGGGGTCTGTGAAGGGTTTTACATTGTATTAACTCAAGTTTTGAATTGCTTGTCACAGAGAATGTGTTACTGTGTATATTTGAGCTCACATAATTGTTATATACATGTAGTCCATTTCTCAACGGGAAGTGATGCATTATCTAAAGATAGGGTCTATAAGTGTATAAATTTGGGATAACATTTTCTGAGGTTTAAGGCTGTGTAGTTTTAAGTAGAAGAAAGGAGTGGGGTGACCATTTCTAATGTTGATGGTTGGTGGCTCAACTTCTTTGAGCTGTATATACCAAAAGTAACAGCGGTCATGAACAAGCCATTAGGTTTTATTTTATTTAAGGGCATACTGTTGATTAGAAACATGGGGTTTGTTACATAAAGAAGTGTGCTCAGAAGGAGAAAAACTATAATTGATGATTTAATTACAGCAACCAGTTAGGGTGGTACTTTTGTGCTGAATTAATAAAATTGCTATAAATACATCATACAACTAATTATACACAATATAACTGATTCTATAATCTGGTCTATAAAAGAAATGCTATTGATGCCCAGTTCTTGAATTCAGTGTCTAAAAAAATACAAAAAATTTAAGCAGTGAATTTATGGTATTAGCAAATTTAAGGTGGGAGTGAATTTAAGGTTTTAGTAAATTTAAGGTATCAGTAAGGTGGCAGTGGGTTTAAGGTATCAGTATATTTAAGGTGGCAGTGAATTAAAGTGACTGAATTTAAGGCATCATTACCTTTAAGGTGGCAGTGGAATTAAGGAGGCACTGGATTGAAGGGAGTAGTCAATTTGAGGTAGCAATTAATTTAAGGCAGGCTGAGATTTAAGGTGGTAGTTGATTTAAAGTATCAGTAAATTTAAGGTGGCAGTAAATGTAAAGTATTAGTACATTTACGGTAAAGGTAAGGTGGCAGTGGATTTAACGTAGCAATTAATTGGAGGTAGACTGAAATTTAAGGTGGCGGTTGATTTAAGGTATCAGTAAATTTAAGGTGGCAGCTGATTTAGGGTATCGGTAAATTTAAGGTGGCCATGAATTTAAGGTGTCAGTGGAATTAAAGAGATGTTGGATTTAAGGTAGCAATGAGTTTAAGGTAGCAGCGGATTTAAGATGTGTTTAATAGCATAACAACACTTTAGCAACAACCTGGGGCACCATAGCAACGACCTAGCAACACTTTTCCAGTCACCTTGGATACCATAACGATTACCATAGCAACATCTAAGCAACACTTTAGCAACCATTAATAGTCAACCACCATTCCAATCACCTTGGGTACCATAACCATTACTATAGCAACATCTAAGCAACACATTAGCAACCATTAATAGTCAACCACCATTTTAACATTTTACAGCGACTAGCTGGCCACTTGCTTTATTTAGGCCATGTATTAATTTGCAGGATTTCTCTTCATGCGTGCTTCAACCCACTCCTGCCTGCAGTGGGCTGGTTTCTCGCCCGCTCCCGCGCACAACACTGAAAATGAGTCCTGCGCCGCAAGAGCAGACCTGTATTCGGCGGTTTGTGCAGAAAATATGCGGTTCTCATACGTGTAGCTGTTTGCCGTGGCAGAGCTGCTCTAATCCTCATCAGTGTTGCCAGGTCTCGCGAGACAAAACAAGCAACCAAGGCTACGGTTACATATAACAAGCACAAAAGAAGCAACTTGGCTTGGCCATCAAATCTTATCTTCAGACTGAAATGTGTCTCCAGCTGTTTGTCTCAGAGTGAATGAAGAACAGTGAGTGTTAAAGTGTCGGACAGCTTCCTACCTTCAACAGTTCAGCTCTTGTTTGTGTTTCTCCATCAACACTGAATGACCGCGGAGGCGGGGACTGCTGACCACAACACAACCTTCTGCTTCTCCGCTTTAGTGCAGTTGGAGAAAGATATAGTCGATAAATTAGCGCCACCACCTGGCCTGAAGCGGCTTTACCGAGTATGGGGGGGGGGTGGTCTCTCACTAATGGCTTCCCTTTATTTCAAACGCCAGAGGGCGCGAGCGAGTCCTCAATGAATAACAAAACGGAGGGCGAATGGAGTTAAACATGAAAAAAAAAGAAAGAAAGAGATAAAAACAGAACTTTAACAGGCACGTACACCCCCTAAGACCCGCAACCTGTTAAAAATCATCAAAGATCAGAAGCAAAAGAACAATTCCTGAAGCAAAAAATGTGTCAGCAAACTCGGCAAGTACAAAAAATAAAAGCAAAAACTGGCAACATAAGTTGGACATTTTGATGTACATTAAGTCCTTTTCGTTAATTGTGCTGCTAAACAGCGTTGACATGGAGAGAACCATAACTTCTTAATAAACGTGATATTTAGATGAAGTAAAGACCTGTAAAATGAACATTTGTAATAATTTATGTATAAAAGCGTTATTTGCAAATTGCCGTTATTGATCCCAGGAGAAATAACTGACCACAGCTGGATTTCTGAAAAGTGTTAATATTCCCTCCTATTTCCTCTGACAAGAGTTTTCTACTCGAACCATATTAGTCATTAAAATGATGACAACTTGGTTTGGAACTCTTGTGGTTAGATTAGTTCGTGATATTTTCCGCTGTATTTTTTCCACTGTTTTATAGTTACTAGACAGGTCCTGTTCAACCCCTCCAATTTTCAGCCCACACTTGAGCCCCTGCTATTACCCAGTCCGCGCTTGACGAGGGCTTGACCGAATACGGGTGGGATTCTAAATAACGACAGTTCCGCCTGTTTCCGTGACCGCGTGGTTCCAGTGTGAAGCCGCTTCAGGCCAGGTGGTGGCGCTGATTCCGTAACTATAACTTTCTCCAACTGCACTAAAGCGGAGAAGCAGAAGGTTGTGTTGTGCTCAGCAGTCCAAACAGCGCTCATACAGTGTTGATGGAGGAGCAGAAACAAGAGCTGAACTGTTAAAGGTAGGAAGCTGTCCGACACTTTAACACTCACTGTTCCTCATTCACTCTGAGACAAACAGCTGGAGACACATTTGAGTCTGAAGATAAGATCTGATGGTTTAAAATAGATTAAACAACACAGAGGCAGCTTCATTCAAACTTGGCTGAGTGATGCAGATGTTGGGAATTTTTCCTGCAGTTTGTTTCTGATTTATTTACTTGGCAAACCCGTCAAATAATTTGTTGTAGTAGTAATGCTCTTATCAAAATTCTGATTTTTGCTTTTCAAGTTTTTTCAGGTCAGCTTTATTCAAACCAGAGCTGAGTAATTACAGCTGTTGTATCAGAATATTTGGTTGTTTTTTTTCTGTTTTGCTCTGTAAACAAGCCAATTAGTTAATACTTTCATGATGATAAAGCTCTCATCTAGCTAGTGTATTAAAACCCTGTTTTGCTTTCGAGCCATTTTGGCTGGTTCTAAAGATATATGTCTGTTTGAACGAGACTTTGTAATTCTCGGCTTTTCTCGTGTTCTTCTGTTCTTTTGTGTTATCTAGTCAGCTCCTTCATTAATGAGTGTATAAGTGGTGTGAAGGTAAACGCACTCATTGTCAGGAAAACTGTAGAGATGAGTCCTTTATGACCTTCTCTGCTCCTCTGTCTGTTTGTGAACATATAAAGTATATCTTACTAACAATTCACAAAGAACAGTGTGGAAAAAGAGATGATGCCGTATTGGAAATGGAGCTGTAATTAACGTAGAAATAGTGACTGATTAATGCTGATGTTATCCAAGCTGGCTATAATTTTATGTACAAATGTGGTGAGAAGATCAGTTTGTTCTAGAACAATATGAAGTGCTTCTTGAGAGCTGTGAATGTCTGGGTGGGGGTTGTTGGTCAATGTTTGGTAGATTAAGAGCTGGTAGGAGTGTCTGTGGTGGGTGTTTAAGGTCTGTTTAGAAATGGGTGTAGTGTGTTTGAGCCATTAGGAGCTTTATAGTGTAGTTGAAGTGCTTCCCATCTCAATCATGGAGACCACATGCACTACTTATTTTTGTGAATGAGGTGTGCTAGATAAAAGAAAGCATGAAATTGTATATAGTGTGAGGTCTCCAGGACTGGGACTTAAAAAGATGCTTTATTTATTGTAGTCAAAAGGGCCATTGTTGTGCCAACAGCAGGGGTTTGGATGGTTTACATGCAATAGCATGAATAGCTGTTAATACTTAAAAAAAAAATACTTAAAGAATAGGATTTATATATTTGTGCTAGGATCCCTTCGTTCATTTTTGATCAGATTTTGGATTAAGGATTGTAATGTGTTGGAATGTCATTTTAATGGTTAGAGACGCATTTATAACATAAACTCCTATTATTATTTATGCTGATCATTATCAAACAGATCATGATCATTTTGTATTATGTTTCACATTTATATCTTTACTAGGCATTTTACACAAAATGTGATTCAAATCAGTGTCACAGAATGGTGTCTTGATACAATACATTTTTCAACACAGCAAAAATAAGGAATGCCTAAAATGTGCCTCATGTTAATATGTCAGTGTTTGCGTCATGCGTATGGCATACATGCATGTGCGCTAGTAGTGTAATGATACATCAGGTCTGATGCAATTTTCATTCTAAGGTCAAGACTTAGTTTGACTTTCAGTATTTTCCGAGTTTAAAATGTCTTGATTCTGCAGAGCTCTAATTAAAGGCTACAGAGATTGGTTGGCTCCGATTTTATATATAAAAGTTCTTCAGTGGAACATTTCAATGTGTGCCTCACAATATTTATATTTTCTCAAGACACAGATCCAGAGGCTGAGATTTTTAGGTTTATAACTGATTTTCAGCAGAGAATTGGATCGAACTTTTCTACTGAGTAGGTGCATAAGGCAGTGTGTGTGAATGTTAGTTTGTGTTGATTGAATACCAATATTTTGATTGTGGTATTAATGCAAGATTTGATGCCTCTGTATTTTTTCCAAATCAACACATCCAGGCAGTTATTCTCTGTTGGCCAAGTATGTTTGCGCACACAAAGAATTTATTTTCTATTACACAGTAACTGACAACAGAAGTTGACACTTAAAAATGATGGACATATTAGTTAATATATAACCCCATTTCCAAAAAAGTTGGGACACTGTGCAAAATGTAAATAAAAACAAAATGCAATGATGTGCAGATCTTTTAAAATCTATATTTAATTGAAAATAGTACAAAGACAATAGGGGTGGGAATCTCTAGGCATCTCACAATTTGATTTGATTACGATTCAGAGGGCTGCGATCCGATTATAAAACGATTATCGATGCATCTTGATGCATCTTTTTTGTCTATATATGATTTCTATGTTTCTCACTGTCTGAGGACTCGGTAGTTTTAAAACAAAGTATTTGTAATGATCCATAATGCATTTACGTCCAATATCTTTTATTAATAAATCAAATGGAAGTGATGTGGCAAGTGAACTAGAAGGCTCTCATTCACTGCTCTTGTTTGGAGACGCTGCTGCCACTCATCTGTGATAAAATGTGCCGTTACGGTGAAATAAGATCCAGTGGTAATGGATGTCCACGCAGCACATTATATAGTCTTTAGTGATTTCATAATGTCGAGGAAAAGAGAAAGACAGATGAACATTTGGAGATGAATGGACTTATTTGCCTTTATAAGCAGCGCAGTTGGTTTCCTGGTACATTAAATCCGTGACGAGAGACTGTCAAACACTAAAAAGTTGCGAAGATGAAGTCGCTTCTCTTTCTAATTTTCCCGTTCCACCTTAAATAGTGCCGCTTTTACATTCAGTGCCTCAGTCAGAATTTAAGGCGGAACGGGAAAGTTCAGCAAGAAGCTGGCGAGTGAGAAGCGACTTCAGCCTTGTGAAACAGCGGAACGCTGAGAGACATTTTACAAGAACTATTCAACTTTTGAGGAAAAGTTTTCTGGCGGAGTTGGAAGAAAAGCGGCTATAGCTGAAGCTTAAAGCAGAGCAAAGTAAGTCTGTGTTTTCGTTTATATTGTTTAACCTCTACTAGGACATTATCACATACTGACACATACTGGACATTAAATGTTGCGTTTTGCGTTCTGTCAACATTACGTTATAAATTAAATATTTAGAAAATCAAGTTTTGACATTTGTGAATTGATTCAGAATCGTCCACATCTGCATCACGATGCATCTAAGAATCGATTTTTTTCCCACACCCCTAAAAGACAAGATATCAAAAGTTGAAACTTTTTTTTTATTGTTTATTGAAAAATATTTGCCCATTTTGAATTTGATACCAGAACACGTTTCAAAAAAGTTGGGACAGGGGCAACAGAAGGCTGGTAAAGTTGTGTAATGCTAAAAAACACCTGGTGGTTGATTGACAACAAGTCAGTAACATGACTGTGCATAAAAAAAGCATCCCAGAGAGGCTGAGCCTTTCAGAAGTAAAGATGGGGAGGAGTTCACCATGCTGTGAAAGACTGCACGAGCATATAGTGCAGCAATTCAAGAATAACTTACAAAATAATTTACAAAATTACAAGAATAATTTTTCAACATAAAACGGCAAAGAACTTTAGCTTTTCATCATCCACAGTACATAATAACATGAAAAGATTCAGAGAATCTGGAGAAATCTCTGTAAGGCCAAAAATCAGTATTGGCTGGCCATGATCTTTGGTCCCTCAGGAGGCACTGCTTTAAAAACAAACATGATTCTGTAGTGGAAATCACTGCATGGGCTCAGGAACACTTCTGAAAACCACTGTCTCTGAAAACAGTTCGTTGCTGCATCCACAAATCCAAGTTAAAACTCTAAAATGCAAAGAAGAAACTATACATAAACAGGATCCAGAAATGCTGCTACCTTCTCTGGGTCCAAGCTCATTTAAAATGGACTGAGGCAAAGTGTTCTGTGGTCTGACGAATCAACATTTAAAATTCTTTTTGGAAATCATGGATGCTGCGTCCTCCGGACTAAAGACCACTCGGCATGTTATCGGTGCCCAGTTCAAAAGCCAGAATTCATGATGGTATAGGGGTGCATTAGTGCACATGGCATGGGTGACTGGAACATTTGTAAAGGCACCATTAATGCTGAACGATATATACTTCTCAGTATCCACATTTGATATGTTGTCTTTGTAGTATTTTCCTTTAAAAATATGGTTTACATGATTTGTATGTCATTGCCTTCTATTTTTATTTACATTTTGTGCAGCATCCCAGCTTTTTTGGAAATGGGGTTGTATATAATATTAACAACACAACTAAGATTAATTGTGCAAGGTCGCCCTCATGCAGCCAGTTACAGACCTTTATGGGCTGCAGCCTAAATAAAAAAAGAAAAAGCAACAACACCACACAGAAGGGATACTAGGCCAAAAGACTCATTAGGAATAAACATTTCATGTTTAAACACTTTTTCCGTCTCCCATGACTTTCTCAGAATGTTATCTATATGGTCGTATGTAAGTTTAGGCACCTCTGGACAAATGACATGTTTTGTTGATTTTCTACAAGTTTAAATGCAGTGTTACTGTTTATTTTTGACAAATTTAATACATTAGAGGAAAAAACTAAAAATGTGTGTGTGTGCAAAGTTTGAACATCCTTTTAGTCAATGATGAGCATAGTCAAGAGTTCGGTCTTTTTCATTAGACCACAGCACTTGATTCAGATATATACTTCAGATATTGACATGTGTGATGAGATTGTTCCAGCCTAATCTTTCTGTACATCTTTGGGAGAGAGGTGGGGGTTTTGCTTTGCACACTAGGCATGTATACAATCAGTTTGTTTTATAAAGTTTATAAGCAGGAAGTATTCAGATGCATTTTATATTTTTGTCTTGGTTAGTGAATTGTCTATATTTTCAGATCCTCAGGCAGCTGTTTACAGAAACAATGGCTGTGAAGTGTAAGCACCCCAAGAGGTCACATGAAGGTCACATAACTTATTACGCTCTGAAATTGTCCAGGCATCACTTGGATTAAGGCCTGATTAGTCAAATAAGAGGGTAACAAATGCATGTTTGCAACTTTTCATATTTTGGCTCCATAAAGACCTTAGGATCCTGCAGCAAAGGATCCAGGATTAACAGTGATACTGTCAGTGATTGGGAGAAGAATGCAGGGAGGACTCTTAGGATAAAACGCATCGAGTTTGGAATCATTTTGTTAAGTACAGCATGTGATGGTGGTGGTTTTCAAATAATTGCAGGCATTTTTGCCATGGCGAAATCCAGCCTAGTCCTGTAGTTTCTGATATTGACCTGATGACACAACTTTAGTGATCTATGTCTGTTTGAAGAGTTTGATTAATTAGGTGATTGACTTTCCCACATTAGATGAAAATTCATTCTTTCTTTACACTTTCTGCCAGTTGATGTAAGTAGGGCATTAATAATTTGGATCAGAATACTTTTGTTGCATTGAACATTTAGATTTTCTTTTTTCTTCTTCCAGAAATGAATGATGTCCTGTTTCAAGTCTTCTCCTGCACTTTCATACCCAGCTTAAATGTGCTTCTGTAAACACGTTAGGACATTCCACAAAGAGGAATGTTAAACTGCTGAAACAGGTCTTATTTAAGAAAAATGCCATCCAGAAAACGTTCCGGTACTCAGCAAACGTCATCTGGTACCCTCCACATCAACACATCTGCCAGACAAACACAGAAATGTGGCAAGAAGAGAACTCACTACTGCTTGGATTGTGGAAGGAGTTTTACTCTAAAGAGTAGTCTCAAACTACACCAGCGCATTCACACAGGAGAGAAGCCGTATCACTGCTCAGAGTGTGGGAAGAGTTTTAGTCGACAGAGTTATCTCCAACTACACCAGCGCATTCACACAGGAGCTAAACCATATTACTGCTCCGAGTGTGGGAAAAGGTTTAACGTACAAAGTAATCTCAAAACGCACCAGCGCATTCACACAGGAGAGAAGCCGTATTATTGCTCAGCATGTGGGAAGAGTTTCAATCGTCAGAGTTCTTTCCAAGAACACCAGCGCATTCACACAGGAGAGAAGCCGTATTACTGCTCAGAGTGTGGGAAAAGTTTTACTCTACAGAATACTCTCAAAATACACCAGCGCATTCACACAGGGGAGAAGCCGTATTACTGCTCAGAGTGTGGGACGAGTTTTAATCGACAGAGCTCTCTCCAACAACATCAGCTCATTCACACCGGAGAGAAGCCGTATCAGTGCTCAGAGTGTGGGAAGTGTTTTAATCGTAAGAACTCACTCCAACAACACCAGTTCATTCATACAGGAGAGAAGCCTTATAATTGCTCAGAGTGTGGGAAGAGTTTCAGGCATTCCAATAGTATGAAAATACACAAGTGCACTAAGAGCAGCGGTGGAATGGGAAGTAATGAGTATAATTGTAAGACATTCCGGGAGTAAAAGCCTACAGGAAATCATGCTTCCAGACCAGGTTTAAAAAAAGTCCAGATAACTGTTTTAGATTGAAAATCCAACTTTTGTTGTTTTACACTGTTTCTTCTACATGAGCATAACAGGAAATAACATTTTTATAATAATATTAATAGTGTGGTGGAAAACAATTGACAAGCTCCACATTCAGTAATATTCTAGTTTCTGGTTTAGTATATCTAAGGTACTTTGTGTTTCAATTGCAGTGTTGGAAGTTGTGACAACCCTTTGACATTGTGCTTTGCTCCTTGAGTTTTTCTGTTGCTCCTTTGTTAACTAGTTAATGCTTGTTACAATGAAAAAGTCACTTCCCTTTTAATCTTCAGGAAATGTATTCTGTATGCTATAGTAAATATGTAATTTGGCATTTCAGCAATTCTGTGTTCTTGTTAAGAACAAATTAAAGAGATATAATCCTGAGGACTGCAGCATTTGTTGTACTGTGCAGAACTGAATGGCTACGTAAAGGAGATACCAGCGTATAAAAGACTGCAAGACATCAAGCTATTTAAGTGGCGTACTGGTGACCTCTCCTCAATATGGCCTACGCGTGCCTGTTCTATGTGGCATAAAGTTGCATACAGGCCAGACTCCAACTCCTGAACTTTCCACTACTGTTTCTGAGACTTTAAGGACTATTGTGCTTTGTGATGCTTGGAGAATGATTGTTCTTTGAGAAGCGTGTTGTAACATGAGATACAGACTTTTATGCCCATCTCCAATTTATGCTACCAGACATGGCGGTAGCCTGTGGTTCAGGTGTTGGAACTGGGTATCTCTGTCATTGTAGAACTGGGTGAAAGGTGACCATTTGGGGATGTTCAAGGCTTTGGGTCTGATTGAGAGCAACTCTTGCTGATGTGCATAAGGACACTATCTTTGACTAAATTTCACCAGTGACACTATGTTCAACTATGTTCCTGAACCAATCAAATCTGCTTAAGTCTGTTTGTTAGTTGTTTATAGTGAATAAGTTCTTTTAATATGAATATAACAGCTCAAATGTTATATTTTTAAAGAAGATGTATGTTTGTATTTCTTTTGTAACATAGTGTTGTTGGAGGAATTAAAACAAGAGCTGAACTATTGAAGGTAGGAAGCTGTCTGTCTCTTTAACATTCATTGTTCTTCATTCACTCAGAGACAAACAGCTGGAGACACATTTGAGTTCTGAAAATTAGATTTGATGAGTTTAAAATAATCTAGACATCACAGAAGCAGCTTCTTTCAAACCAGAGCTGAGTAGTTTGAGCTGTTAGGTCAGAATATGTGGATCTTTATTTTTTTTCTGACTTACTCCATTAATAAACAAATTAGTTGATTAATGCTTTCATGTTAATAAAGCTCTTGTCTGTTGTATTAAAATGCTGTTTTGCTTTTGAGCCATTTTTGGCTAATTGGTTCTAAAGACATTTCTATTTGAAATTCTTGGCTTTTCTCATGTTCTGTTCTTCTGTGTGTTAATGCTATAAAATGAGCTTGTTCATTATTGATTGTATAATTGGTGTGAATGTAAACACACTCATTGACAGGTAAACTGTAAAGATGAATCCTTTATGACTTGATTCACGTTGTCAATTTGAGAGCACATGAAGCAGATCGTATCAATTATTCATTTTTAAAAACAATGTGCAAAAAGAAACCATGCCGTATTGGAAATGGAGCTGTAAATAATGTAGGAATAGTGACTGATTAATGGTGATGTCAACCAAGCTGGCTATAATTGTATAATTATGTACAAATGTGGTGAGAAGATCAGTTTGTTCTAGAACAATATGAAGTGCTTCCTGAGAGCTGTGAATGTCTGGGTGGGGGTTGTTGGTCAATGGTTGGTAGATTAAGAGCTGGTAGGAGTGTCTGTGGTCGGTGTTTAAGGTCTGTTTAGAGATGGGTGTAGTGTGTTTGAGCCATTAGGAGCTTTATAGTGTAGTTGAAGTGCTTCCCATCTCAATCATGGAGACCACATGCACTACATATTTTTGTGAATGAGGTGTGCTAGATAAAAGAAAGCATGAAATTGTATATAGTGTGAGGTCTCCAGGACTGGGACTAAAAAAGATGCTTTATTTATTGTAGTCAAAAGGGCCATTGTTGTGGCAACAGCAGGGGGCAGGGGTTTGGATGGTTTACATGCAATAGCATGAATAGCTGTTAATCCTTTATATATTTGTGCTAGGATACCTTAGTTCATTTTTGATGTAGTCAAATTTTGATTAAGCATTGTGTTGGAATGTCCTTATAATGGTCAGAGCTGCATTTATGACTGAAACTCCTTACTGATTATTTATGCTGATCATTCAAACGGATCATGATCATTTTGTATTATGTTTCACATTTATATCTTTATTAGCATACAACAGCATAGAATAAAGCACTCGCTACAACAGACTGGTAGAATGTCCATCGGAGCTTAGTGCACACACCAAAAGACCTCTGCCTCCTCAGGAAGTAGAGACGGCTTTGGCCTTTCTTGTACGCAGTCAGAGTGTTACAGCTCCAGTCCAGCTTGTTGTCCAAGTGCACACCCAGATATTTGTAGGTCCCGACCACCTCCACATCAACTCCATCAATGGTGACTGGTGACAAGGCAGGTTTGGACTTCTTAAAGTCCAGCACCATCTCCTTAGTCTTACTGATGTTTAGCTGCAGCTGGTTCAGCTTACACCAGTCAACAAAGTGCTTGACCAGCTTCCTGTATTCCTCTTCCTGTCCATTCCTCATGCACCCCACAATGGCCATGTCATCCGAGAATTTCTGCAGATGACCTGACTCTGTGTTGTACCTGAAGTCAGAGGTGTACAGGTTGAACAGGAATGGAGCTAACACAGTCCCCTGGGGTGCCACAACTCTGCACACAGCCATGTCTGAGACACAGCCCTGGAGTCACACATACTGGGGTCATCTAGTCAGATAGTCCATTATCCATGAGATGATGGATTCATCCACCTGCATCAGCCGTAGCTTCTCCCCTAACAGCACAGGCTGTATGGTGTTTAATGCACTGGAGAAATAGAAAAACATGATCCTCACAGTGCTGCCTAATGTGTCCAGGTGAGAGTACGTTCTGTCCAGCAGGGAGAAAACTGCATCATCCACTCCAATGCCATCCTGGTTTGCAAACTGCAGAGGGTCGAGAGCTGTTCTGACCAGAGGTCTCAGATGAGCTAGCGTGTCTTCATTAAGTGGGATGTCGATAATCATATGGTGCTGTCGGTTGCCTTTTCTTGGGGACAGGAACCACACAAGATGTTTTCCACATAAATGGGACTCTCTTCAGGCTGCAGCTCAGATTGAATATGTGCTGAAGAATTCCACACAGCTGCTCCGCACACAGTTTCAGCACCCTGGGTTCAATGACATCAGGTCCCGCTGCTTTGCGTTTTTTCAGTTCAATCTTCACCTGATTAGCAGTGAATGTATTATCACTGGACATTCCAGTTGTGGGGGGTAGGTGAGAGGCGTCCATTGCAGACAGTGGTTGCTGATGGTCACAGGTGTGAATGGCTGTGGTGGAGGAAGGTGAGGCTGTGGATAGGGCTGGGCGATAAAACGATAACGATAAGTATCGCGATATAACTTTTCCTCAATAGAGCGATAAGACAGGTTCGATAAATGTTCGATATGCACCATTCTCACACTTCCACGTTTTAGCGAAAGCCCTGGTGGCGCTTTCTACTGCAAGGAAAGCGATACTACTCTGCTGTCGCCAGGAGAGGGCGCACTTCCGAATTTTTCGACTTGATTAGAGAGGGAGGGGGCCACGAGTAAAAAAAAAGGGTCGCCAAATATACTTTAGCAACAGCTGAAACGCGGAGTTATACAGTCCCTGTTTGAGCAGAGCGACTGGGGATCTGTTCTCCTGTGACCGAGTGTGAGTGAGGAGGTCAGTGGTGTAACTATACTGTCCTACAGTGAACTCACCTCTTTCCATGCATCCTAACAACTTTAGCGGTGTTAAATCACGTCTGCAGCGCCGTGTTACAGCGCCAAACCGTCATATTTTAGTATTAGTGCATTCTCGAGCAACGAAAGTGAAAGAAAGAAGTGGGTTCATGTTCGAAAGTAAACTGAGGAAGCTGTGAGGCATTGGAGAGCGGGAGAGCGCTGTCTTTCCAGGCTAGCTGTTTTTAGCTGCTGGCTAACTTGAAGCAGCGCTCCGGCAAAACACGGTGGATTGATGATACGGTAGATCAAACAAGACACAAAATCACCGCTTTCAGTTTAAACATACCTAAAAGGAGGACTCAGGGCTCCCGAGTGGCGCAACCGTCTAAGCGTTGGCCCTATCATCAGGAGATCGCGAGTTCGATCCCTGGTGATGCTACAGCCATCCGTAGCCGGGAGTCCGAGAGAGCACAATTGGCCTCGCTCTCTCTGGGTGGGTGGGATGGCCCCTCCTTCTCCCCCGCATCACTCAGCGCGATGCTAGTCAGCGCAGGCGTCTGTTAGCTGACGTAACAGATCTGGCGGTTGGCGCTTTCCTCCGAGCGCGTTCGGCTGTCCAGTGACGTTGCGTGAGCGGCAGCTCGAAAAGAAGCGGTGGTTGGCTTCACAGGTCTCGGAGGAAGCCTGTGTTAGCCTTCACCCTCCTAGCGTTGATAGCATCGTGTGATTGGGGGAGTCCTAACTAGCGGGTGGAATTGGAGAAAATCGGGTAAAATGGGTAAAGGAGGACTCTGTGACTGGTGTGAGAGATTCACACTGCAGATAATGCTTTTACACAGCGAACGTCAGATATACTGCGGTTCACCCCTTAAACTACTACCATAGCATAGAGAAATCCAGTCGTTGCTAGCTGGAGTCTGAATACTGTGATCTGCTCTGACATGGATGTGGTAGGAGTGACAGCAGTGACCTACCGAACCGAGTTGACGTTGTTGAGAAACTAAAGAGTTTAGCACTGTTGTTGGCCACTTGTTTAGTCACCAGACAGCTAAAAATAATGTTTTCTTTCTTAAATCATGACTATTACAAAAATTGCAGCTGTGCTTTTCCAGCTGATAAAAACAGCTCATTCACGCTTTCCATATGCTGGAATAGGGCTGCGTTGGTTGAAGCCGTGAGGTCTTTTAAGGCCTCTTCAGACATCACAAGTGTTATTCAGCTCTAGTTTGTTTTCCAGCTTGGACTTGTACTCCTCTTTGGCCTTCTTAATTGAGGTTTTAAGCTCTTTTTGCTTTAGTAGTGTAATATGTGTTTTCAGGTCTGATGCAATTTTGATTCTAAGATCAAGATTTAGTTTGATTTTTCAGTATTTTCTGAGTTTAAAATGCTACAGAGATTGGTTGGCTCAGACTGTTAAAAAAAAAAAGAAACAGTTCCTCAGTGGAATTTTTCAATGCCTGCCTCACATGATTTCTATTTTCTCCAGACACAGATCCAGAGGCTGAGGTTTTCAGATTCAGGAACCGACTTTCAGCATA